TCAGGGCTCTGCATGGAAATGTTGGGGATCGAACCCTACACTGAACCTGTGCTATATGCCCCTGAGCTGTGAGTGTTCCCTCTGGAATTACTTTTCACAGCCTCACAAACTAAGGCTTAAAATGTGGAAGTCATCCCACAAAAGGAAAATTATATATTAAGATTTAGATAGTGTTGTCGCAGATATAGGCTCAGAGGCCTGTGGCATTAAATGGCTTCAAGAATGGTCTCAGAAAAAATGTAAAAATGATTCCAGTATGCAGCCAAGGTCAAAGATTAGTGACATCTGAAAGGCTACAAACTTTGCAAGTTTTACCGTCAAGGTTATGCAGTATAAAGCACAGTCATATAAAGACAAACAGTCTTGCAACCCTGGAATTGACATGATACAATTTTTTCATTCCCGAAACAGATAAAAAAAACTGCAAGCCCTTTTTATGGAGGGGCAGGGAGTGCAAGCAAAGGTAGCACAAGTAAACAGTGGGGGAAATTCAATGTAACACTAAGCATATTGCTGCTTCATCAGCAGAAACAGATGAAACAAACTGCCCTGTCCTACCCCACACACTGTTCCAGTGGTTCTCTAGACCCTCCACCAAGTTAATTTGTGGGGCACAGGAAGAGGAAGGGGGGAAGCCCCATTGAGCTAATGGAAGTCCTGGTGCAATGAAGTTGCTACATAACTAACTTAGGTTCATTCACTTCATTGGGCCTTCTGTGAGGACTAGGTTGACTACAGCCCATAATTTACTATTTGCAGACAGAATCTAGGTCGATGAATAACTGGAGTAATATACACACTGGGTTATACATGACTGCTAAACAGAGAACTTCCACTGTATGCACACACCATGGTAAGTTATTATATTACAAATTTAATATGAATAAATAAGCCTTTAATTTCGAGTGACAAACCATCATTTTTTTCTCTAATGGCCAATGAGACTAGAGAAACATACTTGAGTACTTCCTTGTGCGGAATGTTGGGTTGTCCCTCCCTTTTTCAGCGGTAACAACTTAATTTGTTAAAAAGAGCACTTTTTTCCTTCAGATATCATTTGCAAAATGTTCTGCTCAGCTACAAACAATGCACTAGTTCAAGAAGTATTGAGCAGAAGATAGCAGCATTAAATGTATATTTATTTAGTGGCAGCAGTGTGCAAAAAAGCTAAACAAATGTATGTCCCTTCTATAAAATATTGTTTTGTGTTAATACTTGGATTCCTTGGCCCAACCTTTAAGGGAAGAGGATGTACTTTATCTTGACTTTTGCATTATTTACAGTGCACTTGAATACACTGTGCAATGAGACTTGCCTCCAGGTAAATGAATACAGAATTATAGCCTTAGTCCATCTTGCTACATCTACTGACAAATATTTTTTGCTTTTTTTATTTAGTAGCATAAGATTATCTGAGAATTGTAAAAGTTTTCAGCCTCTCTCTCCGCTTTCACAGGAAAGTTACTCCATGTTCTAATGCTCCCACAAATCAAACACGTTTCCTTATATATAGCTCTTATTTTCTCTCCATTTGATAGCTTTCTAATGTTTATTTTTCTGTGGTGAGTTATTGCTTAACTTTTATCCTAAGCTGCCTTAAGCACTTTTTTAAAAAACAGAAACACAGACTATAAATCTTTTAAATACACAAATACCTTTGTTGCTATAACTGTTTTCGTGCCCTTCACTATCAACACTTCTTTTTTTAAAATTGTTTTTATTAAATATTTTCTTGGGTTACAAAAGTACACACATCACCTCTGTTTTCAGATCACAGACCCTGGTTTTGATTTGTTCAAACACCAGCAACTACTCCTTAAGCCCTTAGGCATCAGCCTCAGGTTTAAAGTGTGTATTTGCCCCTGCAGCAAAAGTCCATGACAACCTTTTAAACAAAAACAAAAATCTTCCCTTTATGCTGTGTTCCCTTAACCCCACTTCTGCCCAAGATCATCGACTGCTCCTTTCATAGCCTTAGTTTCTTCTATAATGGAAATTTCCTGTGTTATAAAAAGCTGTGTTGGGAACAACGTAAATCATGGATGTGGAAGCATATGAGAAAAGTGGGAGGCACGCCATCAAATGTGCTGGGAAAGCGAGAAAGGGTGGCTTCCCACTCCCATGGGCACCACGTAAGCACAAAGCAGAAAATCCCACTTTGCAGTGTCTTTCAATATTTTCCATGAAACCCTCAGTTAATCTTCAGGGGCCTCTAATCTCCTGTGCCTTCACACCTCACCTTTTAAAGCAAGCAAGCAAACAAACAAACAAACAAACAAACCCTTTGCTCACAGAGCAGCTTTACATCTGAAAGACAGCCTAGATTGGCATATGTACATCTATACATATGAAGTGGAGGGACGTGGGTGGCGCTGTGGGTTAAACCACAGAGCCTAGGACTTGCTGATCAGAAGGTCTGCGGTTCAAATCCCCACGACGGGGTGAGCTCCCGTTGCTCGGTCCCTGCTCCTGCCAACCTCAACGTTCAAAAGCACGTCGAAGTGCAAGTAGATAAAAAGGTACCGCTCCGGCGGGAAGGTAAACGGTGTTTCCGTGCGCTGCTCTGGTTTGCCAGAAGCGGCTTAGTCATGCTGGCCACATGACCCGGAAGCTGTACGCCGGCTCCCTCGGCCAGTAAAGTGAGATGAGCACCGCAACCTTAGAGTTGTTCGCGACTCGACCTAATGGTCAGGGGTCCTTTACATATGAAGTAGCATATGTAACATGTGTCCATGCCATTCTTCATCTCAAAACTGCAACAAAGCCCATGGATATTTAACTACTGTATGGCCACATCTACCACCCTTTTCTCTTCCTTCCCTCTGTTCTCTGCAAAGCAAAATGTTTAGCACAGGCCTGCATTATTTGGGGCCCTGATGAGCTGAATGCAGGCCCCCAACCATGCCCCTGAGACTTGCCAGGTACTCACCAACTCCCTTGCTTTTGAAGTTCCTGGCAACAAAAGTCCGGTGGTTTTAGTGGGAGGGTGTGTATTTTAGGGCTGGAAAACCTTTGGCCTTCGAGGTGTAGCTGAACTGCAAGTCCCATCATCCCTGACCATTGAGCATGATGGCTAGGGCTGATGGGGGTTGGAGTCCAAAAGCATCTGGAAGGCCAAAGGTTCCCCAGCCCTGTTTTATGGCAAAGGCAGAAAGATGGTGACACCAGAAACGCAAAGCCTGGCCCCTCAGGAAGGCCTTTGGGGGCTAACAAGGCACAGCATGCTTTGACTTATACTAATTAGGTATACTTTGGGTTGTACTATGTGTGCTTTCTTTGTGTAGTAGTTGTTATACAAAAAAAGCAGGAAGTTTACTGAGCTCCTGATCAGCTGTGTTTAGCTTAGGACCACAACTTACACATTTCTACTTTAGCTTTTAAGTGCCTCTAGCCATATACATAAACAAAATTTTAAAATGTCCAGAACAAACTTAGTTGGTCTCTAAGGTGCTACTGGACAATTTTTAAAATTTATTTATTTATTTCGACTGTGTCACACCAACACGGCAATCTACGTGAATCTAGTCAAATACATTCATCTCCCTTTTACTGGAAGTCACCATGTACATTGGTATCTGTTGCTCATCTTCTTCACACTGCCTAAATTTAGAGTGTAACTTTAAGCAACTGTATTAATAATTTCGTGTGAAACACCTCTTGGTCAAGTAACTTCTTCCTCAACTGTTAGTTCCTTCAGAGGAAGAAGAAGAAGAAGAAGAAGAAGGTGCTTCCTCCTTTCTTCCTCTTCTATAATGGCCTTGTGTGAACCACTCTAGTCTAACCTTGCCTGCCTCACCATTGTTGCCCAAGTCCCCTCTACTCCATTCCTAGGATTTCAGTTGCCTGCTTCAAAATCTACTGCACCTCTCCTAGCAAAGGCAACCCTCTCATAAAGTGGGGAGGGCAAGGCACAAATGTTGGAGTTAGGAGGCTTTTGTGTTCCAGTACTGAGACCAAAGTAATCTGCTGCATGTCTCATAAAGTGACATACAGCAGATTACTTTGGTCTCAGTACTGGAACACAAAAGCCTCCTAACTCCAACATTTGTGCCTTGCCCTCCCCATTTTATAGGCTTGGGACAGATAACTGTAGGGAGCAGAGATTCTTTTACTTCCAACGCTTAGCTTATATTATCCCCCAATAGCTCTAAGCCAGAGTGGAATGGGCGGTTTTTGTAATAATAATAATAATAATAATAATAATAATAATAATAGTCTGAAACTACTGCTAATGTTCAAACCTTCGCTGTCTTTTATTTATGACAAGAAGTCTTATTTATAAAGCTCTTGAGGTGCAGACACGCAATTCTGAAACGCAGCAGACCTAGTCGTAGTAGACAATCGGGTGTTAACCGCCCCCCCCCCCCACGCTCCGGTCTGGGAATATGAAAAGCGGATTTTGGTGAGGCCGAGGCAGTGACACTTGAGAACAATCTCACAAAAGAAGCCTCGGAGGTTTTAAGAAAGCAAAAGCAAAAACCGGGAGATTCAGACACATACACGCACGATGAGCCACGAGTGGGGCCTCGGCGAAGCACGAACCAATTGAGAACGCCCCTGAATCAAACATGAGAAGGAAAACAGGTCTCTGTGTGACAGAGGGAGCGCCAGCTTCTTCCTCGCCTCGACAGCCCTGGATGTCTGCTCAATGCATCTCCTTTCTTAGAAGTTGCCCAGTGTCCGAGAAGGGAGCCTTACTTAACCTTCTCCCCCCGCCCCTTGCCATCCATAGCGGATGCGTAAAGCACCGCCGAGCCGCCACCAGCTGGTTCTTGATCGCTGAAACGCAGAGCCGGCCACTTCTGCGCCTCTCGGCTCCCCCTCGGAGGAACTTCTCCCGGGGCAACCCGCCAGCAACCCGCTCCTCGTCCCTCTTCCCTTCCCACCATTGTTGACGCCAGGCAGGCAGGCAGGCAGGCAGGCAGCCCTCGCCCCCCTCCTCCTCCTCTGCCTCCAGGGTCTCAGAGAAGTCCCCCTCAACTTCGTAGCGCGTCACTCACTGCCAGGCACCAGGAGAAAGAGCGCCAGGAAGGCGCAGGAGGTCAGGAAAGGGCTCCGGGCGCAGGCCATCCTCCCCCTCCCCTCAGTCAGCCCGCGAGCAGCAGCCACAGACCCACCGGGACGACTCCGCGCCTCACAACTGAGTAGCTCGCGTTGCCCGAAAGCGAAGAGCCGCGGCCACGCCTCCTCCCGCCCCCTCCTCCTCCTCCTCCGGCTGCTTTTGCTCCAGTTGTCCCTGCGAGCGCCTGAGCGAAATGGGAGTTCCGCGGCGGCGGCGGCGGCGGCCGTCCTTTTGCCGGCACCTCCCTCCTGCTTCTGCTTCAGGGCTGGCTCCTCCCTACCAGGTGGTCATTTCCCCGAGGGCCATGGATGAAGAAGCCCCAGAGCATGTGCAGAGCCTCTCCGTCGTCCCCCAGCGCCGCCTAACTTGGAGGTGTGTTCCCACACCTCTGGGATCAACAGCGCTGTTCTGTGCCTGCTTCCCGGGAAGGAAGCCCCACTGTGTTCGGTGAGATTTACTCCCGTGTAATTGTGTATATAGCGGGAGGTGGGGCGACCTGTCGCCCTCCAGATGTTGCACTCCATCCTTGCCCATCATCCCTGAGCATTGGGGGTGCTGTCTGGGGCTGATGGGAGCCGGAGTTCAAGAACACAGGTTCTCCATACCTGCTGTGTAGGACTGCAACCTGAAAGTCCCAAGATCCGGCTCTGACAACGAACTTCTTCCTTACAACCCCTGTTGTGGTTCTTTTTTTTTTTTAAAAAAAAGAAAGAAATCAATTACTGGAGCTCCCAGGGCTGAGACCTGCCTTGGAAGGAATGTCCTCTGGCCAGAAAGTTCTGCTCCTTAATCCCAGTTTGCACAGGATGTCTGTAAACTGACCAATGGCAAGAAATCATTCTTCATGTGGCTGGGGAAACCCAGCCAAATAGGTGGGGTAGAAATAATAATATATCATTATCATCCTCACGTACTACTTTATTGTTATCCCACTTGTGTTGGGGCCCCCCAAGGTTCAGCCAGTCAGTTTACAACCAACCTTTAGTGTGGAGGTTGGAATGGGAATAGAAGAAGTAACACTGACAAGAAGGCATCATGTTTAGCCCTTCTGTAGCCCACAATTATTGTAGCAATTGTAATATGCTGTGCAAGATGGTGGATGATTATTAATTTATTTTTGGAGCTTTTATTTCTTCGAATGTATTTTATTCTACTGAAATATGAATTCCTTAGAATTCAATATGTGCTTAATTTATGCAGGTTACTTGCAGGTTATCTCAAATTAAAGTAGTGCAATACGTTCCCATTGGGTTGAAGAACAGGATGTTGGCTCTCAACGGATGGCCTTTGGAGGATGAGGAAATGGCCTGTCCCTGTTCTCTGGGCTGATGTTTTCCTTCCCTTTGTTGGTCATCAAGAAGTGTTTGCAAAGAAATGACAGTTTGGAGAAAGGCAAACCGGGAACAGACAGAAAACAACTTTAATGGAGAGAGTAATCTATTCATCAGTTGTATGATTAACTGATTACAGTTTATTTAATGGCTTGCACCCATGGATATAATCCTACATTACACAAAAGGAGTGTGGCTCCTAACCTCCCCCTTTCTGACAGTTTTATTGCCATCAGGAATATACAAACTAGGCCAGCTTCAGGGCTGGTGTTGAGGTGTGTCCATTCCAAGGTGTGTGTTGGGGGAGTGGCATGCTCCTGCAGCACATCCTTTTGGGTGAGTCAAGAGGGGCAGCCTCCTGATGGATGAAGCATAAGTCTCTCTCTTTCAGGATGGGCCTCACCTTCCGCAGAAAGGGAGGCCCAGAGGATCCTCTGGTCTCTGCGATCCCTCCCAGGGACTGCAGCCTAGCCCATTTAACTGTCTTTCTTATTTCTGTAAATGTGTAGAAGTTGGTAGGATTCCACAACAGTGATCAGAAGGAAAGATGCCATGGTCTCTTGCAGGTCCTGCCAGCTTTTTCCTCATCAAAGCTATTTTGTCTGGAAATGCAACACCTTATTTTTTTGCATGTGGAAAATTAATTACCTATTTATTGTTCATTGGAATTGTTTCCCTTTTCAGCATGAGCTTCTATGCTAGCAAAATGACGTTTGTGGCAGGATGCCACATTTCTTAGCCTTGTTACTACATGCTGAACTTAAGAATATATTGCTGCATTTCCTCCTTTGTTCCCTCACAATAAATTGCACACTGCTGCAGGCCACACCTGCTCATTACCAAAGAGAAGCAGAAACGGAAGGGCATGCCAATTGCAATGCCAGTGGGAGAGGTTTACAATAAATAAAAACTTTTCAGTGAGGAAACGGATGATGACATTTCCTTCATGTGACCACTTTCGCACGCCCTCTTGTGCATCTAGTCTAGCAGTGGTGGCACCTGTGTAGGTGTAGACTCTGAGACACCTTTATTGCAGGTCCACCTTTCCAATTACTTCTTGGTGGATAGAACTGCTGTCTTTTTTTTACAGGTAGACCTGACATCCAGACAACTCTGCTGAAGTCCTCAGTTCTTTCATCCCACCCAGCATTCAATTGAGCTGCTGCTGCAAGTAACTTCATAGCAACCCCCCAACACACTGCATTTCCATAAAACAACCCAACCCAGCAGGATAACAACAATGGAATACACTTCAGGGCTGTCAAGCACTATTTAAGTCTCACCCCCCCACCCCCACCCCACCCCCGCAGCCCTTCACATAGCAAAATATGTTACTGCTCAGGATCCAGGATCCCTCAACCACAGATCCACCACCTACAATATGATATAACAATGATGGGCTTTATATGTGATTTTGGTAACAGCAGAGTAATTTTTTAAATGCTACAATTTTATTTAATACAGTGGTACCTCGGGTTAAGTACTTAATTCGTTCCGGAGGTCCGTTCTTAATCTGAAACGGACCCCATTTAGCTAATGGGGCCTCCTGCTGCCGCCACGCCGCTGGAGCCCGATTTCTGTTCTTATCCTGAAGCAAAGTTCTTAACCTGAAGCACTATTTCTGGGTTAGCGGAGTGTGTAACCTGAAGTGTATGTAACCCGAGGTACAACTGTATGTGAAATAAGTAGGAAAGATCAAAACCCTTGTTTTTGTCACTACCTTTTTGTTTATGAACTGAAACACTTCTGCCCAGTCGCAGCTAGCTAAACTCATCAGCACCTGAATTGTTTTCTATGGGGCAGCAATCACTTCTTCAATAGGGAAGTTACAGATAGGTAGCCGTGTTGGTCTGCCATAGTCAAAACAAAAAAAATTCCTTCCAGTAGCACCTTAAAGACCAACTAAGTTAGTTCTTGGTATGAGCTTTCGTGTGCATGCACACTTCTGTGTATCTGAAGAAGTGTGCATGCACACGAAAGCTCATACCAAGAACTAACTTAGTTGGTCTTTAAGGTGCTACTGGAAGGAATTTTTTTTGTTTTGTCAATAGGGAAGATTAGCATAAAAGATTAGAAACTAAACCCAAAAGTCTCTTGGTAGAGACAACCGGCATTTCAACTCTAGGCTTCAGCTTCATTAACATGTGATCCGCTTTCCTAAATGTCAATAATTGCTGTGACTCATTTATTGTCTGGAAACACTGAGAAGTGCGGATCAGGCAAGTTTTTCACAAAAGGAATGAGGAGATTAGTGCCTTTGCTCCACACCTCCTTTCTACAAATAGTAGAAAATTCCTTACAAATGCTAGGTACCCAAATGAGCCATGATATGCAGATTCCCAGCTTGCTTGCTTGCTTTTTTAAAAAAGGAATTGCATTGTTGCTTTTGGTAGATTGGGATGGGGAACCAGCCTGCACACATGCAGCAGGGTGGGGTCTTCCCCTTCCAGGGTTGCAAAGGTAGTGCCTGAACACTACTGTTTTCCTGCCATTGGGTTGAGAAAGGGTGTTTGTTGATTATTCAAGGCAGCAATTGCTCCCTCACTCTGTGCGCACACCATACATTTAAAGCACTTGACATCCTCAAAAGAATCTGGGAGCTAGTTTGTTAAGGGTGCTGGGAATCTTAGCTATGTGAGGGGTACACTACAGTTCTGAGGTTTCTTTGGGGGCAGTCATGTGCTTTAAAAGCATGGTGTATGCACAGCCTTCAAATATAGCTACCGGTATGTATGTGTAGCAAGGGAGGCAATTTGTTGCTTTAAAATGCAAACTTCTCTTCTTCGTCAGGAATGATAACCCATATACAGGAAGAAAGAAATTATCCAGTGGCCAGTCTTGAAAGTTTTTATTTTGCTATATAAAACTAATTAAGAAGATTGAATCATTAAGGGTATTATATCTGATAGCTCCTCTGTTTAATTGTGAACTTGACCAAAGAAATAAAGGCCAGTAACTCTGCTGCCCTGTAAAAATAATCTTAAAGCTTCAAATATAATTCATTCTATTTGATTAACATGATAACTATTTTTTCAAGCAGCAGTCAAGGAACGTGTTAGAGATAATTAACAGATGCCTGCTGGCCTGGAAATGAAAAAGCAAGGAATGACTCATTGTAAACTAAACGACTTTCCATTTTCCAAGCCCAGAAGTCAAAGCTTCGTTTGTAGTTCAACTAAGCCCCTCCTTTCTACCACAACCTACTGCCTTCCCCCTGTGGTTATTTTTCTAGCCTGTTTCCCCAAGTTGAGAAACAACGTACATGCCAGCAGTGATTCATTTCGCAATTGGTAGAACTATGAAGAAGCAAATGAAGAACCATAATGTAACATTATGGAGGATTGCTGCTCTAAATGTGTTGTAAACATTTTTTGCTTACTGGCTAAATCTCTTTTTTTCCCTTCTTTTTAGTGGTGAGGCCGCCTCCTCAAGTTACATTGAGAGGTGTCTAAAACTCCCCTATGTTATTTTTCCATTGAAAGTCACCCACTTAAAATTGGTTATTTGCTGCAATTTTAAAAAGAATTGGGTCAGAAAAGAACCCACCACCACACAGCACAGTCCCAGTAGGGACCAGGGCTCCCCCCCCCAGCTGCTCTTTGTAAGCAAAGAAATTTGTCCAGTCACAAAGACATGATTCAAAAAGTAGTCACATCTAGCCTGACCCTCACATATCAACATATCAAGGCTTGCTTAGTTCTCAGATCTGATTCAGATTCACATAGCAGAAAACAAAATCCTAGGACAGAGAAACAGTATCGAGTCAGAGAACACTAACCCTTCCCCCTTGACATTTTGATTTTCTGTGTGCATGATATTCCCATATCTTAAATAAATCATGTGAGTCTGGAGTCTGAAGTAGTACAACCAGAGATTAGGTTTACTGTCTCATCTGCTGTTTTTCAGAATGAGGCCTAAAGCTGTAGCAGAAGCACTGCTATAAAACAGAGGTAGGAAACATCAGGCCTGAGGGCCAGATTCAGCATTCCAGGCCTCTCCATCTGGCCCTTGGGGGGGGCCTTCCCAGGCAACACCTCTTCCCAGTTCATATCCGCCATCACTAGCCTACACCCTGCAGTGGTTCTGCTGTGCACCCTCCTTGAGTGCTTTTGCCTGTGTGGAATCAGCCTGAGCTGTGATGATGCCTCTTGTGTGGGGTGTGTGGCTGCTTGTAGAAACGTCAACTGTTATTGTACAAAAGTAAATGTCACGCTAGTTGCTCCACCCACCACTGGCATGAGGTCTCCAGAAGGTTGCCTGTGATATAAGGCTCCAAAATGTCCCTCATCAGTGATATATAAGCCTTTCCTACATCACAGAATCCGCAGGAAAGATCCCACACCAATGAATAAATCCTATAGGGAGGGGGGAATTCAACATCACACCGTTACAAACATTCTGCTAGCACAAGTGTTTCTGCTCTCCAAACTCATGCTGTTCTGTGGGGTTCTCCCAGCCACTATCACCCTGACACAATTTAGCAGGGTGTATGAGAGGAGGAAAGCCCCATTGCCATAGTGGAAGTCCTTCTATTAGCGGGACCTGGGGACACAGGTAGCGCTGTGCTCTAAACCACTTAGCCTCTTGGACTTGCTGATCAGAAGGTCAGCAGTTTGACCACTACGCGACGGGTTGAGTACCCATTGCTCCGTCCCAGCTTCTGCCAACCTAGCAGTTCGAAAGCATACCAGTGGGAAGGTAAATGGCATTTCTGTGCGCTCTGGCACTTGTCATGGTCCTCCGTGCGCCAGAAGCAGTTTAGTTATACTGGCCACACGACCTGGAAAGCTGTCTGTGTACAAACTCCAGCTGCCTTGGCCTGAAAAGCGAGATGAGTGCCACACCCCATAGTCACCTTTGACTGGACTTAACTATCCAGAGGTCCTTTACCTTTACTAGCGGGACCGGTTAGTTGAATCCAGGCCATGATTCATGAATGGTGAAACATCACTCTTATTGCAGAGAAGCAAAACTCTGCACTTGGTGACAGTGTTGTAGTTAAGATTCCACCTGCTTAGGTAACTTCTCTGTGCTAGGAGTTTAACCACATATGGTAAACGTTTTTAATAGTTTTCAATTCTTTCAATTAAGTTTTTATTGTACTTTAAATTGTACTGTTTCAGCATGTTGGTGCTTGCAACCCTAGGCTCCTTTGGAATAACCTAATTAGTAATAATAACAAATGATACATGTAAATGTCTGTTACTGATGCAGTTTTTAAATGTAAGGGAATTTAAATGGAGAAGCAGCAGCAGCAGGAGGAGGATGCATAGCCCTTCCTCTCTTACCCGTTCTTCTTCTTTTTAACTGCTCCAGCAAAGTGACTTTCCCCTTGTGAGCTTAAAAAAGCCATGTTATTATCTCTCCCGTGCCCAGATAGGTCACTTTTTTGTTGACATTGCTATGATTGTGGATGTTTTGTTCGCCCTTAAATTTATATTGGCAATTTACACAGAAATGCATAGCTTACTTTGTAGCATCCTGTGTTAAATATCATGTATACACTCCTCAGCTGCTGCTTTTATAAGCTTACTGAGCATGGCCCATGTTACCTGATTAAATAAGCCCCACCTGCAGCCTAGCAAACCCTGCCAATTTCCTCTTGGCTGCTTTTGGTGCTTGTGGAATTGCTACACAAGCCTCCTTCCTTCTGGCTGCCTTCTCACTGTTTAGTGACACTGCCTTTATTCCCCAAACAGTGTAAGGGATTCAAGGCTGCCAACTGACAGAGAGGTGGGGACCCTGGATGGAACTGCTGTTGTGCAATTAACAGCAGCAACATCTGCAGAGATCAGCAAGCAAAACTGGAGCATCATCACCTGCTGTTGATATTTAATGCTGTTAAAGCTGAAGGAGCAGGAGCAGGAGGGGGACCCCAAGATCTAACCTAGAATATAGTGCCTTATTCCCACTTTGTAGGGTGGGCAGCATGGATAGAAGATGCAAGGAAGGAGAAGGCTTATCTATCTTTAAAACACCTGGTGCAGAGCAATAGCCATCACAAACCTCCAGATGTGACTGGGTTACAACTCCCATCAACCCCAACCGTAATGGCTGATTGTCAGGGACTATGGGAACTGGAGCTCAACAACATCTGGAGGGCACCATGTTGGATATGCTTGGTGTACAAGATGGACTTTTGGCAGGTGCAGCTTTGCTTAGTTTGCAG